CGATGCCCGAGGAGGCGGCTAGCACACCCTCGGCTTGGAGGGGTGCCACCTCAAGTGGCACCCCCACGGAGCCCTTGTGAAGGGTTCCAGGCCAGGGGGCTTTTGAGGTTTAGCCTCTTCAACGGCTCAATGCCAGAGAATAGAGGCTTCTCTCTGCCCCGATGGTCCAGCCAATGGGTGACCTTAGGGTACAAACCAATCTAACCGGGACAAGCGCAGGAGATCGAGCGGAATAGTGTATGAAGAGAGCGGGGTCAAGATATGACCAACAATGAACGTGAGTTCGAAATAAACAGAGTACCCCCCCATGGGAGCAGCGTTTTTTTTCTGAGAGACTTACTTGAGTACCGATAGTGAAACGACGAGTCTTTCGAGTCCTGGCATAGCGGTTTGCAAGTGTAAACAAAGTGGAATATGGCGGCTTCCTGAGGAAAGTTAAAACCGAAACCAGGCAGTCAGAGCCCAAGACCGGAAGAGGGAGCAAACGTCATGAAGTTGCTAGCGGATATGCTGAAGCCGGTAATGGAGCAACTCGGTGGTATTAACCAGCAATTGGCCACACTAAACCAAAACTTCGCTCCGCAGCAGCGCCAGCTGGCAGAAACGGAGAAGAAAGTGGAGCATGCAACTGTGAAAATTACAGAGATGGATACCGCAAATAAGAAGATGAAGAAAAGAGTGGCGGATGTGGAAACAACACAAAAACTTCAGGAAACCCGTTTGTTACAGCTTCAAATAGAAAAAGCTAACATGACTCTCAGATTTCAGGGGGGGGCTGAAATTGAAAAAGAAGATTTAAAGAAGACTCTGGGAGAGATCATCGCTCCAATAACAGGTATATCAGCAGATGAAATAGTAAAAGACATGGAGGCTGTCATATCCCATTTGAAATCCGTCAAAAGAGGAAAGGCTACAAGGAATTGATCTCATTTCTTCAAACTAATGGAATTCAGTACAGGTGGGCGATTCCTGAAGGTGTAATTTTTAAAGTCAACGATAAAACAGAGAAGATTGACTCCATCTTTAAAGCTAAGGAATTTTTGAGACGTCAGCTTGGGCCGGAAGAAGAACTTAAAGATGAAGACTCCAAGTCAAGTGACTCTGCTACTTCGGGAACGGACGAGGACTCTGTGGGGGAAGCAGGTGCAGGAGCGGGAGCAACGAAAACTGTGTATGACTTTAGGGATAGAAAACCGAAGTAAGGGCAGAAGGACTCTGTAAATTGTTCTTTGAAGTAAAGAAGATGCTCAAGAAGTACTCCCACAAAGATTAATTTACTAATATAGAAGATGTGTTAAACAAGAACTTCACAAGTATATTGTATCACTAACAATTAGATTAACATGGAAAGGATCTCCTACTCTTGGGTTTTTAGTTAGTGTGGGTATCTTTCCTTTATCCTTAGATGTAGTCCCCCTTCCTTTATTTTTCATTGTAGTTAATAGTCTTATGAAAAATAATAAAAATACCGTCTTGGGGGTTAAAAAAAAAAGATTTCTGAAAAATCCCAGATCCAAATACTTTACCGGTATTGGGATCCGGGCTTTTTCAGGAATCCTAAAAATGTTTCGGGTCCAATAGACCCAAACCAAAAAATACTGAGGAAAAAAGTGCACACCCCTATCGTGGACTACAGGCTACCTTCTTCCTATACCTACTCTAGAATATTCAGGATCAATACTCATAGTAAATGGGTTTGCAATAATGTATATAGCTTCCTCATATGCAGCAGAAGCAAATGAATAAATTTTAGATGTATAGTACCTGCATTCTTTCAAGTCAAGTTTTCTTCTGAAAAAATCACACATGGCCTGAAGTAAAGGAGGCAGACAGGGAGGAAGTTGGAAGGTTAGATGGGGACCTAAAGCCTGATTAAAAGATGATACAACTGAGGGCAAGGCAAGATATAGGTATTCTGGACAGGCCAAAGTAGCTTCCTTCAACTCAGGCGACTTTGTTGTGGATATGGGCTCAGATCAGAGACTGAATGCACTCACACTGGCACATTCAGAGCCACTTGTCTTCTGACCACACATAGTAACAGAACTCTTCTTTGGAATGTGGCCATTGTCACACAAAATGTCAAGTGATAATGGTATCCTCATAACATTATAAAATTATGAATACTGATGATATCTGGACCTTTTCTGAAACATTTGTTTCCTTTTGTTCTGGGTTTTCATAAATGAGGTTGTATCCTTCTTTTGTCTTCAAATTGAGGTTACATGTACTTACTGGAATATCTGTGCTGAAGGCTATAACATTAACTTAAAAGGCATTTCATTCATCATCCTGAAAAAAAGAGTTTTGTCATAATCCCCCCCCCTCCCATTTTTTCCTATATCTTCAATTTTTTCTGCTGGGAAAAAAAAGCAAGAGAACCCTTTGGGGGTGGGGAATAGTGGAGAAATTCCCCCTTCCTGGGCCTCCAAATCTCTATTCAGGCTGTCCCAAGTATTTGTTTCTTCTTCCCTGGAAACAAATGAAGAGGTTCAGGAGAGGACTATATTTTAATAAATATGGTACAGCTGGGATCACTTAATGCTGTATCACAGTGGTAAGGATGTGAGGCTAGGGTATAGTTATCTATCTTTATTTAACAATCCCAATGACCTAGTGGTCTTGGACAGAACACATTTTACACATGCCACCCTTTTACAGGGTAAAAATTTTCCCTGAAAGTAACATCTGAACACTCCCATTTCCTTAAAAAGTGATCAGGCCCTTGGAAGCTAATCATAAGTACCAAGTCCTGAGGTTTTAAGACCAAGGTGATCTAAGCAGAAGTGGTTTCTTCATTCTGGCTTTCAGATTTGGAGCAACAGCAGGCTGGGATGTTTCTCTTTTGCCAGGCATGTTCTAAGCCTTAAGTCGTAAATGTTTGTTTCTGTGTTTTCCATCAACTCTGGCTTGAATTTCAATATTTCGCCAAAACTGAGTATACAGGGTTAGAACTTCCTCTCCCCCTCTTATTAGTCAGATTTTTTTTTACTCTTAACATTCCATTCATCTTACTTATCTTGCTTTTGTTCTGTTCCGCCTCTTAGCTTCCTGAATAATAACTTGCAGTCTAGCATGTTTGCTTTCTATCATCCTGGCATTAGTAGCACAGGGAGATGAGAGACTTCTAGGGTGTGTTTCTGTTAAAAGAGAAGAAGAGATTGGATTTATATCCTGCCCTTCACTTGGAGTCTCAAAGTCACTTACAGTCTCCTTTCCCTCTCCCTCCTCACAACAGACACCCTGTGAGGTAGGTGGGGCTGAGAGAGCTCTGAGAGAACTGCTCTTTCAAGATCAGCTCTGACAGAACTATGGTTTGCCCAAGGTCATCCAGCAACTGCAAGTGGAGGTGTGGGGAATCAAACCTGGTTCTCCCAGATTACTTAACCACTACACCAAACTGGCTCTTAACCACTGCACCACTTTCCTTAACTGACCTGGCTATTTTCAAGTGGGTAGCTGTGTTGGTGTGAAGCAGCAGGACAAAGTTTGAGTCCACAAAGTTTTATTCAAGATACAGGCTTTTGTGAGCACGTGCACTTCTCCAGATATAATAAAATGTGTGCATGCACATGGAAGCTTATACTTTGAATCAGGGGTTGTTTCGTAGAAAAAGAGCTAGGGGAACTCATTAGCATAACTCATTAGCATATGCCACACCCCCTGACATCACCAGAAGTGTGTCATAAGGCCACACTTCCTGACATCACTGGAAGTGTGTCATAAGGCCACACACACCCGCCTCCAACAGTCCCGGCCGCCATCGCCGGCCTTGCAGTTCCACTGCCGAGCCCCATGAGGGGCCCGCCGGTGGACCTGCAAGGCCGGCGGGAGTGCAAGGAAGCCCCGCGAAGGCCCTCCCTGGCCCCAGCCAGGCAGGGGTGGGGAGAGGCAGGGAGGAAGCAACTTACCCTCTCTCTTCTCCTGCCTCCTCCTGGCTGAATGAGGGCCGGAAGTGGGGTGGCCGGAAGCAGGGGGAGGGGCTTCGTCATGTGCCCCGCCCCCCGTACCTCACCCGGGGGAACTGCGATCCCCCGCAATCCCCCCCAAAATGACCTCTGCTTTGAATAAAAGAAGTGGTGCATGTGCACATGAAAGCTTATACCTTGAATAAAATTCGTTGGTCTTAAAGGGGCCACTGGACTCAAACTTTGTTCTGGCTGGCTGGTTGAAATTATACCCTACCAGTATCTCTCCATTGAGGGCTGTTTTTTTTTTTTTTTTATGAGGACTGAGGATACTTTTCTGTTTGCTTTTCCTCCTCATGGTGTCCAGTACAGGTGTATTTAGGTATTCACAGTTAGTGCTGAAGGTATCTGTTTTGAAGATCAGAAAATGGGGATAGCTGCTCAATAAAGTTTGCTCGTGAACCACTACACTCTATCCAGACTTAAATCATGATCTTCATTATAACCATACTAATTATTATGCATTAAAAATGAACACCATTTTTATACTAGATAGTTGAAATGCACTCATTTTCTGAACTTAAATTCAAGGCATGCGTCAGTCTTAAAGGGTTTTTTTTAAGAGCTACTGTCCTATAGTGGAGATGATCTACAGGTTTCTGGATGAGTCATTGATCTGGGCATGCTTCCTGACATGAGAGGCAAGCCTACAGCAGTGACTCATGTAAAGCATGTAATTCCACTGTGTGTCTGTATTGGAGTGATCGAAAAATACAATTGCAGAAACATGGCAGTCACCCACTTCCAGTTGAGGCTGACTGCAAGAAGGCAAAACTAGAGCTGTGAATTATACAGAGACACAACAAGCGGCTTCCTCTGTAGACGGGAGTGCTGGATCCCCAGGAGCTTTTTTTAATTTTTGGATTTCTTGGGGCACACCTCTCTTGAAGAATTCTAGTGAGCACGGTGTGGAAGTTATCAGTTTACACCATGGATTGCATACTCTTTGGTTTCATTAAAAATGTACTTTCTGCAAGTTTTCTTACAGTTAGTAAAAACTAACCATATATTTTTTCTTCTTTTCCTTAAAAGATATTTGATTTAATGGATGCCAAGGCCCGTGCTGATTGTATCAAAGAAATAGATCTTCTTAAGGTAAATCTTTTGTTAAAGATAATGTAGATTAAAGTGCAATTCAGCATTTTCCTGTTGACGATGGAAACAATTAAGAAATTACTGGTATCCAGTAACAAAACCCTTCCATGCAGGTTATAACATTATTGACTACCAGTCAGTCTGGATTTATTAAACTTTAGAATAATACTGATTTCTTAAATAGTGTATCATCATGCACCTGCAAAACATTATAGGACAACTTGGCAGAAAGAGAACAGTGTTTAGGAAAGTCCTATAGCTGAGCTGCTGTGAAGTACGCTCTCCTTCATAGGTTGAGAGGTAAGCCTTGAATCATCCCCGTAGTTGGAACAAAGAGACTTACACAGATGTGTTGATATAAATAAAGGGCAGCTTTATTAAATGTAACTTTAAGTGAATGAACTGTAACTTGGCAAGGGCCAACTAAAAACATAAGCCAGGGCACAGGGACACACACCGGCCCCTTTCCTGGCCTGAAATGGGCAAGCCACTGAGCCCCTGGTGCAAGCAATGATAGCATGGCCATTGCCAAGTGGCAAGACATGTGAATAACCCCCTGAAAGGAAGCCAGCCACCTCAAGACACAAAACATGAGGGGAGGCTGAATCCAAGGGGCATCATAGGCCATTTGCATTCCCCTCCGAGGTTCCTGCCCACGGATGGTTCCTGCCAAATGTGCCCACCCCCCAATCAGTCTGCCTGCTGGTGCTCACTACCCTAACCAAATCAGCCAATTAAACAAAGAACAAAACTAACTTACAGGGAAACCAGAGGCCTGACCTGCGACCAGTGTGGACTCATCCCAGCCTGACTCAACTTGCCCTGATGCAACACAGCGTCACTGCTCCCCCCATGGGGATGGGAGCTGGAAGTTTTCTTTAATGTGGAAAGACGTGCCAAAACTGTCTGATTAAATTGCGAAGAGAGAGCGCTTCTGGCCGATCTTGGGACCTCCACCCTACCCCAGGCTACCGCTATTCCATGGGCATTCTCAAGGGTTGTGATCCTTTCCAGAATCAAAAACCTCTTCTGTGCCTTATCATCCTCATCTGAGGAGGAACACGCTGCTGAAACTCTCTTAGGGGGTGGCTTGGAGGCTGACTGCTTCCTTTTAACTGGGTCCTTCCCTTTCCCCTTCCCTAACACCATGACCAGAGCAATCTAAAATGGCCACCCACCAAGATGGCTGTCCTCGCCAAAATGCACACAATGCTCAGCAGGTCTCAATCCCTCATAAACAGAAGTAAAAAAGGGGGGGGATAAATGAAGATGCATCGCCAGTCACCGGGTGCCTACCCGAAGGCAGCACCCCCCACCCCTCTTAAACGACCCTCAAAACTCTTGCTCTCAATATGATGATGATAAGTATAAAAGATGATAAAACACGTCTTTGTATCATGCAGAGAAAGAGGGTCCTGTTCATAGGGTTTGGTAGGCTACAACCAGACATGGGACTGCTGAAAAGCCTCCTTGCTGTCTGGTTGAAATGCAAAGACTGCCCAGTAGAGGGGCAGGCAGAGCAAACTAAACCAAACCCACCTAAAATACCCATATGGGCAGGAAATTGTCCGGCCAGTCTCTTCCTCCTTCCATGGAGGTAAAGGTGGCCCTCCATTCTAAAGCAACCACAAGGGTTGCAGCCTGATAGGGCTGTATTAATCTTGTGCTAGCTACCTCGGCTCCAGGAGAATTTTATAGGGATTCTTATTTAACATTATAGTGCTTCTCATGTACAAAATGCTTTTAGTACTTGGTTATAAGTTTGTTTGAGACACAGACTGCCCTTATATAAACTCTTGATTGACTCTAGACCAGAGAACCCCAACCTTTTTGAGCATCTGGGTACCTTTGGTATTCTGATAGAGTGGTATGCTCTACCACAGACTGGCTGCCACAGAAGGCAAGAGCCAACTAAAATGAGGTTATGCATAAATCTTCAGCATTTCAGGCAGACTCTCAGATTAACAGGGTGCACTTTTTAAATGAATATATTGTTTAAAAATATTTTCTTGCATACACGTAGCTTCAGTCACACAGTATCAATACTTGTGTTGCAGAAGTAGCTGGCAAAGCAATTAAAAAATATATATACACAGCCAAACAGGAACTCTGCTGGGCAAACATCCTATCTTGCCCTGCCCACTTTCCAAAAACACTTAGCAGGGTCTATTAACACCCCCAGTGGGCACCAAGTTGGGGGACCCATGCTCCAGACTAACAACACTAGGCTCTCTTCTGGAAGTGCATCCATCCTGCACCAGGAACAAGCCATGATACTTCCCTTTTTCATTTGCCTTTGCATTGCCTTGTGAGTCCTTGGCTTGACCTGCTCTGCCTTACTCTCCTGGACCCTCTCTCACCTTGCTGACCTTACTGAATTTGTCCCTGCCTTACCATACCAGCATTTCCCTGGCATTGGCCAGAAACTAGAGTAGCAAGAAACAGCAAAACAACTGTGAGCTGAAATACCCGCAAGTATATTTATTTAAGCTCACAGTTGTTTTGCTGTTTCTTGCTATATTAGACTGTGTGCTGTATTGTTTGTTGCTTGCAGAAACTAGTCACCATCTCTGCCAGGGCCCAGTAATCAGGATGTTCTCAGCACAAAGAGAAACATGGGAGTGTCAGTCAAAAGTTGTATGCTGTACCGTGAAGCTTGATAGGCCCCGATCACATGCAGAGTTTGCTGCGGGAGAGCCATGAATGCCAGGCGGATTATATGGGCGTGATCACACTGCCACATCTGGCAAGTGTGGCGCACCCGTGGCCAACCGGTATCGTCTGGCTGAAGATGCGGACTTTAAAAGTACCTTGGAAACCCCAGTAGTAAATGGTAGCGACGGGCTGCAGACAGACACTCTCTGTCTGATCGCCCCAGCGCGCTCCTCTCAAGTCCCTGCTTCCTATTTGGAGTGCGCTGCAAACAACCGCCCAAGGAAACAACACTGTCGCATCTGATCACGTTGGGGCACGTCAGATTGTGACAGCACTAATAGCCACGCCCCCCCCCCCACGTTATCCAGCCCATGTGACCAGGACCATATATAATTTTTTGAGATAGTTTACGAATTAAGCAAAAGTTACGACCTCTCTGTTTTAGAAGAAAAGCCTAATTTTTAAATTAATTTACTTCACTTACAGTCAATATGGACACTTTGTGCATCTGGCAAAGTTAGCTCTGACTCTTAAAATCTTATGCTGAAATAAATTGAACTTCTGTTTTATTTATTTTATTATTTAAATAATAATAATTATATTGATTCTATTTTTTGCTGTGAGGTTCTAGTGTTAAATGTGGGAGGATACTTAAGATTTATCATCAGATTAAAGCGCTAATATGATTATTCAACTATAAATTGAAGTATCTGTTTATTTGCCTAGCAACTGAATCATCCGAATGTAATTAAATACTACGCCTCATTTATCGAAGACAATGAATTAAATATAGTGCTGGAATTAGCAGATGCTGGTGACCTTTCTAGAATGATCAAGGTAGGGTATTTTTTTTTACCTTAGTAGAGGTTATCAGTTTTTTATTTGGAATATGAACAATGTTTTTAATATTTAATTTATTTGCTTTTTATTACTCAGGATTTAATTAGCATTTGGATCATTACATAGAATGAATTTTAAAAAGAGTTGTGATCTGATTCCCAGTTTGTTGTTGTTGTTGTTCAGTCGCACTGTCGAGTCCGACTCTTCGCGACCCCATGGACCACATCACGCCAGGCCTTCCTGTCTTCCGCTGTCCTCTGAAGTTTGCTCAATTTCATGTCTGTTGCATCGATGACACTGTCTAACCATCTCATCCTTTGCCGTCCCCATCTTCTTTGACCTTCAGTCTTTCCCAGCATCAGGGTCTTCTCCAGGGAGTGCTCCCTTCTCATTTGGTGGCCAAAGTATTTGAGCTTCAGTTTCATTATCTGGCCTTCCAGGGAACAGTCAGGGTTGATTTCTTTTAGGATTGACTGATTTGATCTTCTTTCAGTCCAAGGGACTCTCCAGCACCATAGTTCAAAAGAATCTATTCTTCGGCACTCGGCCTTCCTTATAGTCCAACTCTCGCAGCCATACATGACTACAGGGAATACCATTGCTTTGACCATGCAGACTTTTATTGGCAGGGTGACTCCCAGTTACAAATGTGTAAATTCTATCCAGGCGGTTGCAGGCTGCCAAAGTTACACATTATTTACGCACGCAGTATGTGAGTGCAAGAAAAGGCAGAAAGGAAGGTGAAATCAACCACTGCATTCCAAATCTGGCATTGTGCCACCACAGTATATTCTGTCAGTATTTCCGTTATAAATTTTCCTTTTAAAGAATTTTACTGTTACAATTCAGCTGTAAAAACTAGCTGCAGGTTAAAATTTTGGCGGCAGCAATCTGAACTCAAAAATATGTTTACTGCAGTGTTGTTTAAGAACAGTCTGGGAGCCTTTGAGGACTGCTCCTTGTATTAATGGATTTTGCTAGCTGCAAAGATTTTGCAAGCAGTTCAAGTGACAACAGTGGTAACATAGGGAGGCTTTGGACCAGTGTCTGCACAAGACCATTATTGGAACACTTGGATTAGTACATGCAGTGTTTGTTGATTTGGTACAAAGCCAAAACAGCAGAAATCGCTAACACAAATAAAGAAATACAGATTGACCTTTTGGCATGTGCTGCCAATGTTAACTCAGCTCATTGCCCTTTCTGCAAATTATTTTTAAGGAACTATTTAAAATACTTGCATGTCTCCCAGACAACTAGGATCCAGAGTATCAGGAATCAGCACAGGTTTAGGGACCATCATCATTCGTCTTGTAAGTGCTCGAGTCACTGAATCATCATTGCAACCAATACTGTCCAGCCAACCCATTCCATGCCTTTATCTTGTTTAATCTGTTATTTTTATTTTCTTGTGTTTTTATAGTAATGTAAAACGAACTTAGTAAAGGGAAATACACTTAGATTTCTGTTTCATTTATCGTCCATTCTTAACCCTCCTATGATAATTTGTGATTCCCTTTTTCCTGTAGCCTGTGCTATTTTACCATGGGCGTTT